GGCAGATGGACATACAACACAATAAAACTGATCCTTAGATTTTCTGCATCCATCTAAACCCTTTGTTCATATAATTGTCTAATTGTAACATTTATTAACTGAAATTAATTAATTGGAATTGAATGAAATTTCTTAAAAGCCTGAGTATCACGAGATAGGAAAATAGGAAATTAGAAATGAAGATGTATAGCAGATTGTTGAAGTAGTTGGGAACAGCTACAGGCTACCTTTAACCACACAAAAATTCACAGAGACCGTGTACAGACATCCTGTCCACTATTCTCCTAGGTGTTTTCTTTGGTTCACTATTAAATGGGGGCCTACAGAGTTCAGTTTTTCCAACTACTAAAGGAAGGCCTGGAGACATTAGGTTTATAACTGACCAAGGAATGACAGCATGCATACTTACTTTCTGTATCATTTCTTTTTTTCATTTTCTTACAGTATTTCTACTGAGGGTCAATATTAAGATAAATATTATTTTATCTAACTAAGAAATTTTTTTTTTCATGATAATTTACTTGAAGTGTAATGATTAAGAAATTCTTTATATCTTTGTTATTTATTCCAACATTTCAATATAAATTTTAGTACAACCGCAAATTCATATTCATTCATTATTATTATTTTTTAAAATTTACTAACAATAATAGAATATTATTTTAAAATTGCACTGAGTATAAGAACGAGGGGTGGTGCCAGGAATTCCCTGAGAAGCTTACCCCCCCCCCCCATCACCCGGTCGGGGAAAAAATTAAATTTGTTGGGGAATTTTTTTATTAAAAAATAATATTTTGTGTTAATTACGGGATTCTTTTTCCTGTCAAAGGTACCAGCCCCTTGTCGGGGAAGAGCTGGCGCCACCACTGCAACCCATATGATCGATACAATACCTTGCACATACGGTAGCATTGCCAGCACTAAAACAATTTTGAATCCCTAAAATTTGACAGCATAGTATAGGCATGCTTAAAATGTACTTTAAGCACACGAGGCTTGATTTTTCTCCTGACGGACTTGCTGGCAATTCTCCAAATAAGAACAGCCCTTCATAAATTAAACAATATATCGAAAAGGATACAGAGATAATACTTGGTTTTAAAGGGTTGTTTACTTACTTTGTTGTCACCATTGGACCACTGGCCATACGCATTCAATTCTTCAATCATATGTTTAGCATACAATTCCGAAATCAATGGAAACCGGTAAACATCAGGGCATGGCTAAAATACAAACATTTTATCATTTTAAATAATAAACATTTGGCAGCTGATTAAGCAAAAATCTATTGTTTGAGCAATTATGTTTATTAAATTATTATTTTTATATTTTGGGAATTCAATTATACTACATTTTAGCAAGCACTATAATGTTTAACTTTAATTTGAAAAAAAAATATATTATATTAATCTTATATATATGTTCATCAACTCTAAAGATAAAAATGTATGTGCTTGACATTATATCATAATAAAACACACTGGTTGTATTCTATAGATTGGCAAAGTTCATTTGAGCATTATTTCAACTTGTGAAATAAAGAATGAAAGTTGAAAGACCATAAGAAATTGAATTGAAAAAAAAATAACAATAGGACAATCATCTCTGCTCGCAAACATATTGTGTGCATTGATCTTAACATTGGCATCAAGAAACTGATAGCATACAAATAATGAATGTTTATGGGTACAATGGGGTAGAATATTTCATGAGGTGAGATTGGATGTTCTACTCAACGAAGCAAATGCAATATTCTACCCTACTGTACGAATGAGAAGCATTCATTATTTGTTATACAATACCTCCTTTATACATTGCCTGCATGCTTTTCTTTGAATACATTACAAGGACACATCATCCTTTCCAAGGCGAGCATAAAACCGGCCTAGGGCTACGAATCTATCAAGTTCAGCTAATAAAGACTCATCCAAACCTTCTTCGCTCAAAAGTACAAATGACCCAGTACCAAATGGACCTGCGATTTTATCTGCCGAGCGAGGGTACTAAATGACTAACACCTTGTTTACGCGCGAGTTGTAACGTCGTCATGAGTGGCCTGGTCGCGCTAGGATAATTTTTCTCGCTCGCGTTGCATTTGAGATTTGCAGTCTTGGAGAAGAAAAAGTACTATTCAACGATCGTTGACAAGTACTCAAATAACCATGGAATAGTCATTTTAAATCAATCTCAAGTAACCTGTTTTTAACCAATCAAACTAATAGAATATATACAGGCGTTGTATAATAGTTATTATACAACGCTAGTATAGCCTTCAATTACTAGTCAATGTGTACTATGTTTTACATGACAATTATGGCGATAGTTACTATTTTATAAATTTTGGGCACTTTGCAATGTCTGTTGCAACATCTGATTTCTTTTCACCAGAAACTTTCTATAAAATGCATTTTGGTGCGAAAAAAGAAACATTTGAGTAGATACTGAAAACTTATTCATTTTTTGCAAAATGTTGAGTGGTACAATTGATGTTGGAAAAAACATATCTAGGCCTTGTGATTTTTATGGCACCTGAGAGGTGCGTTGGATTTTTATGTTCAGTAGTGTTTCCAAGATTTGTGCACTGGTTTTTGTAAGCACCCACAGCTATTGAAATCGTTCAAGATTTTAGGAGCGTGCTGTGTGAAGAATGTCAATGCGAAAGTTAAAACCTTTGATGTCCCGAGATGACCGTCCTACTTTTTAATTATTGCCTTTGCTAGACAGTACAACTTTTTAAATAAATACCGATTCAATTTCAGCATCTTCCTTTAGAGCGTCCCAATAATCCGGTCTCAAGTATAAGCGTTCCCAATCCTGATGAACACAAGAAAAACAAAACTATTAGTTATTATGTACATTTCTAATACATCTGGCAAAAACAATACAATCAGTCTGTTATTTGACTAATTGCACACCTGAACCAACTTCTGAATGTTTATTTTTTAATTTGTTCATTTATACTTATATAGCGCCTTCCCTTGCAGATACAAAGTGCTTATTTCATTTGCTATAATTGAATTTCATTAATAACACAAAAAATAAGTCTGGTAACCACGTATGAACCATTACATATTATTTCAGAATCACACATATAAAACATATAATCATATTCTTAGCTATTTTAAAATGATATACCGTAAAACCCAAAATGGGCTTAATCTGGAGAAGAAGCCCATCATAAAAAGAAGCCCCCCTCTTCAGTTTGCAATAGTGATTTTGAGAAGAAGCCCATGGGCTTCTAATCTAGATAATATGGGCTTCTTTCAAGATACTGACATTATTATCTTTGAATATTTTGACAGCGTGTCAGTATTAATATTATTTCATTGTACTAACATGGTTAAAATTAAATAATATATTAAACAGAATTTTGAATTGCATAGTCATAAAAAGTCATATAGTAACAATTCCAAACTATACAGCATTCATTTTGAAAAGAATCCCCCCCTTTTTAGTTTCCAAAATAAATCTTGAAAAGAACTATCTCGAAAAAAGGCCCATCTTTAAAAGAAGCCCATCTTAGAGTCCTTAAGAAAAAAGAAGCCCAGGGCTTCTTTTTGAGACACAGTATTTGTTCAATAAAAAATTTTTTTTTTTTTTTTTAATACTTACTGTGCTTCAGTGCAGCCTCATTCGAGAGCAGCACTTAATCGAGAGTGCCGTTTATTTGAGAGCGGCGCTTATAAAATTAAAATGGAAAGGCACTTTCCATGCCCGTTCCCATGTTACCTATCTTAAACATTTACGTAGTTCAGTAGGCCTTTCATAGGTTCTTGTGTGTCTTCATTGTATTATTTATTCATTTGAACACTGTATACATTTTATTTAAAACCCCGTTTCTTAAAGTGTTTCATTTAAACTAATTCCTCCATGATTACACACAGGGTAATTACTCTTGATTAAGCACTGCGGTGCTTAGTGGAAAAAAAATCAGGTTTGGTGCGGCGCATTTATGAAAGCGGCGCTTAATTGAGAGCAGTGCTTATTCAAGCACTTACGGTAACTTGCCACAGGCATGATTCCACACAATTACAATAATGTCATCTATTTTCGAAATAAATTTTTGCTGAGTCTTAGTTTGATAATTGATTATATTTATCTGCATAACAAATATCCTGCTGTCATTGGTGCTAATTTTATAATCATGTAACGATATTGTATTGGTAAAATGGAAATTAATTAAGATTTTACATTTGATATGCTTTTCCTAATAGCCTAAATTAGCATTTTGGTTCTGGTATTACACTTTTCATATAGCCTTGAGTTGCTAGAGACATATCATGTCTAGAAAAAAAAAAACGCCTGCAAACTTTCCAACTTATCAACTTTAAGCAGAAAGTAAAGAATCAAAGACCAAGGGCGCAATTTATACAAACTGACAAAAAAATGAAACTGCAACAAGCTGATTACGATCTGGAGCGATTATGATTGACTGGTAATGGTACAGTATGATCTGAATTAGGTCAACAAATTTAGTTACCTATAAAGCACAGTGATACATAAAGAAATCATGATCAGCCTTACAAAAAAGTCCTTTAGGATCCTATAGGCAGTGTAGGCCTATAGGTTTCAGTTGGCAACCTACAGGATCCTACAGGACTATTTTTGTAAGGGCGGGTTGCTTTTTTTTTATATACATTAGAGATTTTTTTAGCTATAGGCCAAGGCTTTGGGTTTACTGTTAACAAACACTTACACCCTGCATTTTTCTGGTAGAATGTTAACCACAGGGCTATAATCTAAGGTTAAGGTATCACATATATTATTAATTTTAAAAAAAAAATAGATATCTCACTGATTTAAATAGGACTCAATAATGGATTACTATCAACAATGGACCACTAGTATAGTAATTCAATTTCTTTGAACTTAACTATAAAAGATCATTTATATCATGCATACTACCAAAAGTAAAACACAAAAAGACATTTAATAGTATATGAATCTTAATCAATGTTAATTTGATATATGAAAGAGCATAGGGCAGTACTTTCATTTAGTTTTGCTAATATACAATTACTCACACATGAGCAGGGACAATAACAGGAATTATTTGAGGTGCACATTTCATGACACAACCATACATAAACTCTATTGTTGTTTAGGATCAGTGATTTCTCCACGAATTTGCCAAAAAGGGGTGAAAAAAGTCTGACAGTGAGGTCCAAATCAGAGGTGCCAAAGGCCCAGTTACAGTCCTAGAATAAAATCCCTGGTGGGTTCTTGGAGAGACATTTTATGTATTTAGGATGACCAAAATTGTGTTTTTAGAAAACAATATTAAATAGGGAATGATAATCACAATAGCTTGTTTGGATCAGCTAATTAATGACTTAGTCCAACAACCTTGTTTTCATGCAAACAACGGGTCCATACTTGTCCGAAACTGGGGGACAGACTGCCCCAGACTCCGAGATCCAAAGACCCCGACTTTTCAGGATATAAATTTTCCAACAACCACGGTGGTAGGAATTTAAGGTGAAAATAGCAAGGTCATTGAAACTGAAAACTGCATCAAAATTTCCACATTATCTTGTAAAGAAAGGTTTCTTAAACTCTTTCGTTATCATACTCCCTAGGGATAATCCATTAAAAGTCAATCAATCTGTTTCAACAAAAGGGGGCAGGATTATGTAGCAGAGACTTCTGAAGAAAACTTCAGTTTAGACATTCTGTAGAAAGCGTTAACATATAAAACACAATAAAATTTTCAAGAAATTTATATTCAAATTCATTTTTTTGAAATCTATACACAAATGTTATTGTCAGAGAAAATTTTGTTTGCTTAACCTATGGTAAATATTTTTCTCCAAATGAAAGTTTTATTTATATTTGAGATACACAAAGCAAATTGAAATATTAACAGAAACAATATACCTGAATGAAGTTTATCTATGAAGCTGGGAAGGAAATGCTGATTAGCCTGGGACAGTACAGATAATCATGACATTTAATTCCTGAAATAATGTATGGGTACCAAGGGACACTGTTTGCTGTACATCACTTAAAATGGGACAGTGAATATAATGTACTCACACACAATAAATTATATGCATGTAAAGAGCAACATAGCTCAGTCGGCTAATATGGTGTTAGCCAATGTGTGCGCGCTGAACCGCGGGGATAACTTGTTGGTACCCTGTACTATTTCATTCGTTGCTCTCCTTGTGTTTAAGCTGGTCTGCCGACATGCAAGTATAAAAAAAAAAGCACACGCTCTTTTGGTAGAAACATTTAAGCTGTAGTTCCTGAGTGCAATATAACCTATGTGTATTGTTAAAGAACACGGTAAATCCTTTGTAACTGTGTTCCATTAACACAAGATCGTTTTTGGACCACTATTGCAGTACTAACAAAATCGTTAATATACAATGTTCAACCTATTCTCGATATTTGTTTCAAAATTTGTCAAAAGTAGACATTCAAGATGACTCAGAAATGAGTTGATATTGAACTGAGGTTGCTAAAGTGATCAGTTTCGAGTGGGGTCGCCCTTGTTTATACAACATTTATTTTTAATATATAACATAAATGCTTGAATAAGCGCCGCGGTGCTTATAACATTTTTTGAAGCTTTAGTGGGGCACTTATTCAAGTGGCGCTTTGGTGTGGCGTTTTCCATGCCCTTTCTCATGTTACCTACAGTATCTGAAACATTCTTCCCGTATAAGTAGACCTATCATAGGTCCTGTCATCGTAAATAAACGTTTGTAAAGAAATGCTTGTGTCTTCATTGTGTTATTCATTTTAACACTGTATGCATTGTATTTAAAACCCTGTGTCTCACAGAGTTTCATTATAAACTGGTTAATATATACTCTTGATTAAGCGCTGCGGCGCTTAGTCGAGAGCAGCACTTGGTGAAAATAATCAGGTTTGGTGCAGCGCTTATTCAAGAGCGGCCCTTATTCGAGAGCGGTGCTTAATCAAGCATTTACGGTATTTAAATTTCAAATAACACAATCTATTATAAGTGACTTTTCCGAAAAAAAAGCATAGCTTGTAAAATGTCCTGCTGACAAACTAATAATGCATTTACCAATCAGGAACAAGACAATAATTACTATATAATTCAATTAACACGTGATAGTACTTGAAGAAATTAAAGATTAAGTATGAAAGTATGAATATCTTGCTCAATAGAGCCCACATGGTCACATGACAAACCAATGGCAAAGAGTGTATTCAGCCTACCTATATAATCTGCGCTATAATTTCAATGCATATAACCTTCCCATTGTCAAAATGTGATAAATATGTACAGTATGCTGTAAGTTCAGTAAATAGGAAAAGGTAAAAATCATCTTAAAAGCAAGTAGACTATAGAAGAAAACTTGAAGGTTCTAATTGACCTTAAAAGGTCATCAGGAACCTAACATCACAGAGATAAAAACAGCCTAGAAATTTAAGTCTTAAAACCATAATTCTAAAGATTTTATCATTAAATATGTTGCAGACAGTACAGAAAGATTAAGGATTCAGACGACTTGAGATTAATAGAATGTGGCCAGTCGTCAGTGCAGATGATATATCAATGCATCCTAATAGCAAAATTATGGCTAACAAAAAAAAATCCATATTCCTTTATAATATTCATCAGGCCTGGAAAAAAATGTTTGAGCCACCGACCATGAAATGTTTCAAAATATCAATATTTGTAATTGTAATATTTCCAACTTTAACCTAATCCTTAATATTCAATATGTGAAAATTTATTTTTATGCTTTTTTTAATCTTTTTTTTTTTAATCTTTTTTTTTTTTTTTTTTTTTTTTTTTTTGTTTTACACACTGTTTTTTTTTTTTTTTTTTGGTGTTTGACACACTGTTGAGTCTTGAATAAATAAAGATAAAAAAAAGTTGTCTCTATAAAATGCCACTAGTTGCCTCCACTTTTTCTGCAGCCCTGATATTTATCAACAAAATAATATGGCATTTATACATGAGTAAGAAGCAATAAAAATATATTGTGGTCTATCCAGCAGAAAGGTCACATTAACATTGTCACTAATAAACTAACAGTGAATATACAATTCTCCACTTACTAGATGAAAACAACAATGGTGTAAAATCAGTGTATGTACTGTCTCTTATACACATCTAGATGTGTATAAGAGACAGGTCGGCTAATATGGTGTTAGCCAATGTGTGCGCGCTGAACCGCGGGGATAACTTGTTGGTACCCTGTACTATTTCTGTCTCTTATACACATCTAGATGTGTATAAGAGACAGGTGTCAGTATTAATATTATTTCATTGTACTAACATGGTTAAAATTAAATAATATATTAAACAGAATTTTGAATTGCATAGTCATAAAAAGTCATATAGTAACAATTCCAAACTATACAGCATTCATTTTGAATAATACATATAATAATGTTTCATTATTTTCTATTATTCTGTCGGAACACACATGGAACACAAATGAAATATATATATATATAAAACGTTGAAATATCTGATGATATTAATGAAACAGGCATGGAGAAAATAAATGGGGTGATAATTTTAAATAAGACTCCGATACTGCAACTCACTCGCAAGTTTTTTACTGAAAATAACTTTTGATTGCTGATTTTGATTATGCTTTAAGACAAATGAGGCTTGCCATCCCAAAACCAGCATCAATGACCAAATAATAATTTTAAAAAAAACGACCTTTATATATTCATATGCTTCACATTAAGCTTTACAATGATGGGTCATTTACTAGAATATACTTACTAATGCCAAAGTTATTAGTAAAAGTATTACAGCTTCTCTGTACTAAAGTATACAATACTGCTATGCTGGTTTTAGGATGGAACGCTTCAAATATACATGGATAAATTAAAAACACAAGTGATAGTACAAAATCAAAGTGCCATTTTCATCAAAACCTGTATATATAAATTAATATTAATAGTTAGAAACACAAAATTTAAAAAAAATAATTAATTAACCCTTCTAGAGCTGCACCACTATCATGCATGTGGCTGCAGGCATTTTAAAAGAGAGCTTTTGATTTGCAGGATGACGTAACTCTAAAACAGATTCATACTCATCCATGACCGTCCTACGCTCTCTGCACAACGTACATTCGGGGAAAACTGCGTCCCAAAATCCAGACAATGAAAACAGAACATTCTCGCATGCGCAGATGACTTCTTAGTGACGTCATAACGTTCTAGGTCATACCGTAATCGTGCAATTAAAATCTCCCGAATAAACAATCGCTTACCAACACCATGCTCTTTTACTGGATGCAGCCATTATATTTTTACTGACAAAATACTTCATAAAGCTATCGTTATTTACGAAAGTCACTATTGAGGACAACAAAGCACAGAGGTGGTGATAATGTAGAAGTGGTTGGCGTATCGGTTGTGGTTTGGACTCCCAACCTCGAGGTCGGGGGTTCAAAACTCTCGCTGTGCAAGTCGCTTGTGTCCTTGGGCAAGGCACTTTATCTACGGTTGTCTCTCTCCACCCAGGAGTAAAAGTGGG